TTTTAAGTGGGAATTGGGGTTTCAATTCAGGTCCTAATGCTGACGCAGCAAGCATTGTGACTACTGAGTCATCTCCCCAGTCCCTCGTCTGTGTTATTTGTAAGGAAAGTATGGAATCCGTGTTTATCATGTCTCACTTATATCTCCCCTTGGCCTCTGTCATCATGCATTTAGCAAAGGTGAAGAAAAGTCAAGGAAGACTCTGTTACCTGTGCACTTTCTTCTGGGTTTGGAGTTTGACATTACAGAATCTCAGGTTGTGTAATGGCCCATCTTTGGTTTTCCCTTAAGTTCTCTAATTATGATGCTTTATTCTCTAAGACAGCAACAGAATCTCCTTTCATAACCTGGACACAACACTGGATGTACAATATATGCTAATGTATACACATTATGTGCTGATGAACAAAACTGCAATAGAGAAGACCAGTGGCTGTTTGGCCCTTGCTTGGTGGAACATACTAGTTGAGAAAATAGTGTCTACTCTTCTTCAGGCTTTATTTACAATTATGAGCTTGTAGAATTTTTTATAAAGTCCTGTAGCATAAAGGAAAAAAGCCATGTTGTTTTTAAAGCCTGTGTGCTGGTTGGTTTTCATCAACTTGACACAAACCTAGACATAACTGGGAAGAAAATACCTACATCAGAATGTAGACAAGTATGTGAGATACTGTCTTGATGAATGATTGATGTGGGGAAGCCTAGCCCATTGTGGATGGTGCCACTCCCTCGCTGACCCCCATGTGATCCTGGGTTGCTTAAGAAAGCGTGCTGAGTAAGCCACTTGAGTAAGCCAGTAAGCTTACTCCCAGTAAGTAAGTACTCCTCCTTGGTCTAACCACCAGTTACTGCCTGCCCTCTTTGAGTTCCTGCTATGGTTTCCCTCAGTGATGGACTGTGATTGAGTTGTGTAAGCTAAATAAACCTTTACCTCTCTGAGTTGCTTTCGGTCATGCCTTCTTTCACAGCAGTAGATAACAAAACCATCCTGTCTTTTCCAAAGTGTATTCAGTTATGGATTTCCTCCCATAATGCCTGCTAAATCTGCAGTGGTTACAGGATTTACAGAGATATGTTTGGGCCTGTGCTAGCGTAGGAGTCAAAACAACGTGGTCCCTTTTCTTTCTACTCTAAGGGTCACAGCTGATGTCCAGAATAGATGATAAGCAAA